GGAGCCTAGTGAAAAGGAAACAGGCTCATTGAAACAAACAATGGAGTCATTGATGACAACAAGCTACACTCATCCCCTACGAAAAATCAATTAGTCTATCTCATGGGACAATTTGGTCATTTTGACCACTTTTGGCGAAAATGATGGCCCGAGTAAACGAGTAGTCATCCACAAAAAGTCATCATTGCCAAAAATAACAACTGCTTCACTAAAGATAAAGCTCAAAGGCTGAAAAGGGAAGAAAAGCAATGTTGGCATCACAGTTTAAAATAAGAGTGGCATGCTCAAAGTGTCTCTTCCAAGGCCACGTCCAGAAGCTTCCGAGCTCGAATCTCAGTCTTTCAATGCTTAAAGAACCATTCCAATTCTTAACAAGAGAAAGTCCATAATAAAAGGACATGGAAGGTTAAAAGTCAAGAGAAAGTTGTGATCAAAACAGTCAAAAGGGTAAAAATAAAGGATGACCTTGTCTAAGTCAACTGCACAGTAGACCAAGATGATAACCCTCCAGATATCGAGGAATTCATTGACATAGTCTAACCAGCTCCACCACAAATGAAGGAGGGAGGTCAAGCCACAGTTGATGATCTCCAAGAAATTAATCTTGGTGTAGTTGATGACCCAAAACCTATCTTTGTCAATGCTTCACTAACAATGCAAGAGTTAGAAGAATACACACAACTTTTGCAAGAGTACCGAGATGTATTTGCATGGAGTTATCAAGACATGCCGGGTTTGGACCCAAAGGTTGTAGTTCACAAACTTAGGATACCTAATGAGACTCGAGGGGTGAAGCAAACTCCACGTCATTTTTTGGCCAGAGTTAATGATCCAAATAAAAATCGAGATTGACAAGCTTATTGCCGCTGATTTTATTCGAGAAGTCCAATACCCCACTTGGTTGTCCAGTCCTCAAAAAAACTGGGGCACTACGTATATGTGTGGACTATAGAGACATCAATAATGCATGCCCAAAAGATGAATTTCTACTCCCAATCACATAATTATTGGTAGACACAACAACCGGTTTCGGTGCTCTATTGTTTATGGACGGATTCTTAGGTTACAAACAAATAAAAATGGCTCCTGAGGATCAAGAGAAGACTGCCTTTTGTATTCCAAAAGGAATATATTGCTATGTTGCGATTCAATTTGTGCCACAAAAGGTGAATAGCCAAGTGGTCGCTCATCCTCTCTAAGTTTGAGATAAAATTTGTGCCACAAAAGGCGTTCAAAGGGCAAGCTCTTTCTGATTTCTTGGCTAATAATCCTACTCCAGACAACATGGAGTTACCCGTTGATTTGCCCAACGAAGAGGTATTCACAACAAAAGCACTTACATGGCAGTTGTATTTTGATGGGGCATAAAAAAGAAAAGGAGTTGGGGTAGGATTAGTGTTCATCACGCCGTCTGGAGCCTTAATCCCATACTCATTCTCTCTACTAGCTTTGTGCTCAAATAACGTGGCAGAATACGAGGCACTCATCATTGGCCTTGAAATTTCTCTCGCGATGCATATTCATTGTTTACAAGCATACAGTGATTCACAATTAATTGCTAGGTGGTTGAATGGCCAATACACAGTCAGAAATGCTACTTTCGTCCCATACCATGAAAGGGTAAAATATCTCATGTCATAGTTTCAAAACATTCATGTTAGTCACATCTCGAGTTCAGAAAATGATAAAGTTGATGCGCTAGCTACTTTGGCTGCATCGCTAACGCTACCTAACGAAAAGGATATCTAAATCACTGTTGAGGAATGTAATTTACTACCCTTCAACTATAGAGAGAATTGGAGAAGTTGTTGATTCGAATGTCATTACGGCTTTTGAATGTGAGGAAGATAAAGATGAGCTCGATTGGCGTCATCCCATAGTTGAGTTTCTCCAACAAGGCAAGTTGCCAAATGACTCAAGGAAAAAAGCTGAAGTTCGATGTAGAGCCGCCCGGTTCCTGTATTTAAACGACACCTTGTACAAACGGCCCTTTGATGGTATGCTGTTAAGGTGTCTGTCGAAACAAGACGCAACTAAAGCCCTTCATGATACTCATGCTGGCACTTGCATGCTGGCACTTGTGGTGCTCATCAAGCTAGTCTAAAACTCTCAAATCAACTGAAGAGATTGGGTTATTACTGGCCAACAATGGTCCGAGATTCAATGAAATTTGCAATCACATGTAAAGATTGCCAACTGCATAGAGACTTCATGCACCAGCCACCCCAAAAATTGCATCCGACAACTTTGTCTTGGCCATTTGAACCTTGGGGACTAGATGTTGTGGGTATCATAAAGCCGAAGTCATCACGTTAACATCAATACATCTTGGCCGCGATCAATTACTTCTCTAAGTGGGCTGAAGCAATTCCTTTAAAGGAGGTACGAGTAGACGATGTTACAAACTTTATAAGGAACCACATCATCTACCGTTATGGGGTTCCATTGAAGATAATATCCGACAATGCATTGTATTTCAAGTGCAAGTCTGAAAGAGTTTTTTTTATTGGCTATTTCCTAGCAAATGTAAAGAGTCTGTAAGTTGGTTATTCCTAGTTTTAGAATTAATTGTAACTTACGACGTTGGAGCTTGCGGCACATGAGGAGCATGATTGACTAGTGTTACACGGCAAAGCTCTTTTCTGGTAAGAATCATTTGCATTCATATAGGATTTGTATTCCTAATTAAAGATTACTTTGGTATAAAGTCTATACAAATCTGCATAGAGTCTTAAATAAGGAAGAGTTTTAAATAAGGCCAATCTCTTTATTTATTAGGTAAAAGAGTTAACCTAGTATATAAAGGGTTGGGCTGGACGTTTTTTTGTACTCCCCTTCGTTGCACTCAAATAAAAATCGTGAGATTGTTTTATAAGATTAAGGGAGAGAGATAAAAGGCTGTTAGGTTTTTAGATTTATCTAGGTGATAGTCTGAGAGCATAACATATCATTCATTCATCGTGGAACTTTGTGGAAGCTTTGCTTGTGAGGAAGATCAACCTGCGTGAATTGGTGTTCATCCAAGAGAAAGTGAAGTGGACGTGTTCGTACAAGACAAGAGTATTTGATCAATCTTCTTTTGTGGTGTAAGACAGTATCAATTGAGTCTTGTATATGTCCTCAAGTTTTTAGTGAAATTGGCTGTGTGCCTTGAGGTTTTTCTCTCCTGTGTGGAGGGTTTTTTCCTCGTGCGAGATTTCGTACAAATACTTTGTCGTCGTTTATTTTCTCAGTTTGTTGTGTTCTGATTTTTATTTTGCTGTGTAGTACAAGGATTGAATCACATATCAATCCTGCATATTGCATTTTAACATTGATCCATCCAGGTTTACAATTACACATCTATTATGAGCAACGCAACTGCAATGTTGACAAGAGTAGACAGCTCATTCTTTCTTCATGGGTTTGTGGCAGACTCTGCAGAATTGATTCCCAGGCTGAACCACCCCAGAGGACCACTTGAGCACGAGAGGGTGTTGGTGTGCTGTTCTATTGATCTGGTGTGGTAACGGAGTGCAATCCTCATGGATCAAAAGATGGCAGATGCTGCAGAGATAGGCGACGCCATTCCCATGTTTGTTACATGCATCGCAAGTGAATTTCATTCGCTTCCGAAGGGCGGTGAATTGGTGGTCATGGCAGTCATAATTTCCAATGTTTCACCAATTGGAAGCACATTTGAGGTCAAGGTGGAAGTCACATTGGGAACAAGTGTAAGTATGGTTGTCTCTACAACGTTGGGAACCTACATCACACTTAGTCATCGAAGAAGGCCTTAATTTGGCTGACAGTGATTGCTCTGCTTCCATAATTAAAGTAGTAGTTTAAGATCTTAATTTAAGATTGTTCGTTTACTTTGCATACTATGCTTCTAATTTTGCATTGAGTCATAGCTGAAAATGATAATTAAGTTGATAATCCAAGGAAATGGTAGAAAGGGAAATTGGATGCCAAGTTGCCAATTCAGTGAATTATTTACATCTTTCAACTAGTTTAAGTGTTTAACCATCTTTTCTATGGCGGTGATGAACTGTTGGATATGGTGAAATTTCTGCAACCCATACACAATCACAATGCAGTGAGATGAACTCTGGTCTGCAGTTTGTTGTCATATTTAAAGCTCAATTTACATCACTTTTTTATCCCCCAAGAAAATCTAGCACAACACTTTTTATATCACTTTATGTTTGGAATAAGTTGCAGTTATTTTTTGTGTTCTCTGTGTAGTTTTCACTTCTCCTTTTGTGATAAAACATCCATGATGCTTTCTTGCTTTTATAGGTAATGGGATTTTGAATTTTTATAGTAATTTGTTTAAGTTGTTGTGCATTCGTCTTCTTCTACAAGGAAGCTCACACACACGCTAGCCCAAAAGAGAAAGAATATTGGAGTTTAAAGAACATCAAGGAGTGGATATGACTAATTAACATCAAAGAGTCGCTTTGATTGCTGCTTTTAAAGTTTAATGTGTATTTAACAGGGGATGTTTTCTTTGGTTCTGTCTGTTTACTCTGTTAAGTCTATTTAGTGTGCGAGATACTTACATAGTTGTGTAACTTTTAGTTTGCATCTTACCTTGCTTGAGATTTAATCCAATGGAAAATGCAATACAATCCGATTTTCTTGGAGGACATGTCACAGTCTTGCACAGGCTCTAGAAAGCAGAACCTTAAAAGAGAGCCTAAAGCTTTTGCATGGTCGAACTTATCAGACCAGTTTCGCTTTCGTGGATTGTAATCAGGATCCTATGTTCAGTTTGGGTTTGAACTTTTGAATTGAACACAATTGTGCCTCCGATCTTATATGGAACATAGTTACTTCTTACTTGACGATCACCTCTAGAAGTTAGAATTTCGTCATTTCTGCCCACACCCCTGGAACGTGGAGTGAAGTTGTCCAAATATGAAGCTGGAGCTGAAAAGCAGAACCCAACTATTTTCAAGACTTTTGTAGGAAGTTCGAGATATTTGACATGCAAGAAAATTAAAACACCTTCGGTGGAAATGAATTTGAAACGAGAATCAATTTATTTCGACTATCAGAAATTACATTGTCCTTTGAACCATGGGTGAGAGTCCTCATAAGTTTGGTGGAAATTTATATTACACTCAGAACATTCAAACACCAATCCTTCACAAGGTTCACTACACACTTTACAAGGAAGAATCCGCTCTCTCTTATCGGAAGGAATTTCACTCCTTCTCTTGTCAACAAGGGTGACAAGGTGTGGGTGAGCCGGATGCTTGTAACTATCTCCTAACTTGACTTGCGGATACCTCCCGAGAATGCAATGAGGATGACAATCAAAGTCACAATCCGAGCAGGAGTAGAACCAGAGTTTGGGATCTCGTTTGCCTTCGCATATTTCACAATAATATTCATCTAACTCGTTTTTAACACTGTCATAGGTGAGCTTGAGAGGATGATTGTCGTACCTGTGCCTCGCTGTAGGAGTTAATTTAACACATGAAATACAGAGATGGAAGTCGCATCTCCTACAACTGAACCAATAATATTTTTTAGAAGTGCCACAACCCCTACATTTATAAGTGTTATCAGTTTTTATGTTGAATTGGAGGGTGTGAACATGAGCCTCATGTTTAAGAGCCTTCTGCTTATATAGAATAGCGCACTGAAGGTCCATGCCGATAGTTGAATTAATATTATCAAGGTATACGAAGCCTTGGCTAAACGTACCGCACATGAAACACTCGAACACCCCACCAATCGAATATTGAGCCCTTGGTTGGAGTTCAAACTGGATCTCAGGGTAATATGGGAAACTTATCTTTTTAGGTGAGTGTGCACAAGCTGTATGTAGAAAGAAAGGGCACGACTCCTCTTGTTCTGTACAGCTATAAAAGGCATCAATTTTGGTGATGGGTCGCATGCAGCCATTACAAGTGATTATTCTATCATCATCATCATCACCATTATCTTGATGATCACTATTGATGAGGGCTAAGACATGTTGTGGATGGCTGAAGTGATTGATTTGCAACTCAATTTGGTTGCTGATTATTCTATCATTAGTTCAAGAGTTTATGAGAAAAATACTAGCTAACTAGGGTACGGAGATATATGTGTTTATGGTGTAAATCGGGAGGCCGGAGCCTTATGTAAAAGATGGAGAGAAAGGAGGTGGCTAAGGTTTGTGAAGGGAGAATTTATGCAGAGTTTTAGTAGCAATTCTGACGTACCTCAACCCTTGTGTGTGGCCATCCTTTTATAGAGGTCTCAGGAGCTAAGGTTTCAGAGGAATAATTCCGTAGGTGGAAAGGAATTATTCCTCCCCAATTTGGGATTGATTTGATTAACTGGGGATTTGATTTATTAGGGTAAATCAAATCCCTAATTATGGTAGGTATCAAATCAATTCCTAATTTAATTAGGTAACTCCTCATTTAATTGGGAATTGTGGTAGGAATCAAATCAATTCTCAACCTAATTAGGTAACATTCCATTTAATTGGGTAATCCCCAATTAAATTGAGTAACAAGCTTATTGCCGCTGATTTTATTCGAGAAGTCCAATACCCCACTTGGTTGTCCAGTCCTCAAAAAAACTGGGGCACTACGTATATGTGTGGACTATAGAGACATCAATAATGCATGCCCAAAAGATGAATTTCTACTCCCAATCACATAATTATTGGTAGACACAACAACCGGTTTCGGTGCTCTATTGTTTATGGACGGATTCTTAGGTTACAAACAAATAAAAATGGCTCCTGAGGATCAAGAGAAGACTGCCTTTTGTATTCCAAAAGGAATATATTGCTATGTTGCGATTCAATTTGTGCCACAAAAGGTGAATAGCCAAGTGGTCGCTCATCCTCTCTAAGTTTGAGATAAAATTTGTGCCACAAAAGGCGTTCAAAGGGCAAGCTCTTTCTGATTTCTTGGCTAATAATCCTACTCCAGACAACATGGAGTTACCCGTTGATTTGCCCAACGAAGAGGTATTCACAACAAAAGCACTTACATGGCAGTTGTATTTTGATGGGGCATAAAAAAGAAAAGGAGTTGGGGTAGGATTAGTGTTCATCACGCCGTCTGGAGCCTTAATCCCATACTCATTCTCTCTACTAGCTTTGTGCTCAAATAACGTGGCAGAATACGAGGCACTCATCATTGGCCTTGAAATTTCTCTCGCGATGCATATTCATTGTTTACAAGCATACAGTGATTCACAATTAATTGCTAGGTGGTTGAATGGCCAATACACAGTCAGAAATGCTACTTTCGTCCCATACCATGAAAGGGTAAAATATCTCATGTCATAGTTTCAAAACATTCATGTTAGTCACATCTCGAGTTCAGAAAATGATAAAGTTGATGCGCTAGCTACTTTGGCTGCATCGCTAACGCTACCTAACGAAAAGGATATCTAAATCACTGTTGAGGAATGTAATTTACTACCCTTCAACTATAGAGAGAATTGGAGAAGTTGTTGATTCGAATGTCATTACGGCTTTTGAATGTGAGGAAGATAAAGATGAGCTCGATTGGCGTCATCCCATAGTTGAGTTTCTCCAACAAGGCAAGTTGCCAAATGACTCAAGGAAAAAAGCTGAAGTTCGATGTAGAGCCGCCCGGTTCCTGTATTTAAACGACACCTTGTACAAACGGCCCTTTGATGGTATGCTGTTAAGGTGTCTGTCGAAACAAGACGCAACTAAAGCCCTTCATGATACTCATGCTGGCACTTGCATGCTGGCACTTGTGGTGCTCATCAAGCTAGTCTAAAACTCTCAAATCAACTGAAGAGATTGGGTTATTACTGGCCAACAATGGTCCGAGATTCAATGAAATTTGCAATCACATGTAAAGATTGCCAACTGCATAGAGACTTCATGCACCAGCCACCCCAAAAATTGCATCCGACAACTTTGTCTTGGCCATTTGAACCTTGGGGACTAGATGTTGTGGGTATCATAAAGCCGAAGTCATCACGTTAACATCAATACATCTTGGCCGCGATCAATTACTTCTCTAAGTGGGCTGAAGCAATTCCTTTAAAGGAGGTACGAGTAGACGATGTTACAAACTTTATAAGGAACCACATCATCTACCGTTATGGGGTTCCATTGAAGATAATATCCGACAATGCATTGTATTTCAAGTGCAAGTCTGAAAGAGTTTTTTTTATTGGCTATTTCCTAGCAAATGTAAAGAGTCTGTAAGTTGGTTATTCCTAGTTTTAGAATTAATTGTAACTTACGACGTTGGAGCTTGCGGCACATGAGGAGCATGATTGACTAGTGTTACACGGCAAAGCTCTTTTCTGGTAAGAATCATTTGCATTCATATAGGATTTGTATTCCTAATTAAAGATTACTTTGGTATAAAGTCTATACAAATCTGCATAGAGTCTTAAATAAGGAAGAGTTTTAAATAAGGCCAATCTCTTTATTTATTAGGTAAAAGAGTTAACCTAGTATATAAAGGGTTGGGCTGGACGTTTTTTTGTACTCCCCTTCGTTGCACTCAAATAAAAATCGTGAGATTGTTTTATAAGATTAAGGGAGAGAGATAAAAGGCTGTTAGGTTTTTAGATTTATCTAGGTGATAGTCTGAGAGCATAACATATCATTCATTCATCGTGGAACTTTGTGGAAGCTTTGCTTGTGAGGAAGATCAACCTGCGTGAATTGGTGTTCATCCAAGAGAAAGTGAAGTGGACGTGTTCGTACAAGACAAGAGTATTTGATCAATCTTCTTTTGTGGTGTAAGACAGTATCAATTGAGTCTTGTATATGTCCTCAAGTTTTTAGTGAAATTGGCTGTGTGCCTTGAGGTTTTTCTCTCCTGTGTGGAGGGTTTTTTCCTCGTGCGAGATTTCGTACAAATACTTTGTCGTCGTTTATTTTCTCAGTTTGTTGTGTTCTGATTTTTATTTTGCTGTGTAGTACAAGGATTGAATCACATATCAATCTTGCATATTGCATTTTAACATTGATCCATCCAGGTTTACATTTACAAAGTCTATGTCCGAAAATGCATTGTATTTCAAGTGCAAGTCTATGACCAAGTTGTGTGAGAAGTATAGGTTTCAACACTCATTTTCCGCGAGTTACAATCCATCGTCAAACGGTCAAGTTGAGCTTTCATTAAGATACTATGCAATATCCTGAAGAAGATGGTCTCAGGAAATAAAAGAGATTGGCATGAACGCCTCCCTGAAGCATTATGGGCTTATAGGATGACTGTATGCAACTTAACAAGATGCACACCATACAATTTGGTATTTGGCTCGGAGGCCGTTTTACCGTTAGAAGTCCAATTGCCATCTTTAAGGGTAGCTTCATAGCTGACAAACCCTGACGAAAACGTAAATGTGAGACTGGCAGAACTGGAAGCTCTAGACGAGAAATGGCTGGCAGCTTAACAAAGGCTCGAAATATATCAAGCTTAGGTTGCAGGGGCATTCAACAGAAAAGTTAAGTTCAGATCATTCTCAATTGGAGATTTGGTTTTAATTGTCCGAAGACCTTTGTCATTATTAGGAAAATGCATGGTATGTTTGAGCCCAGGTGGGAGGGGCCCTACATTATTACTAAGGTTTTCTCTAGGGGTGCCTAGGAGTTGTCAAACTCTGAAGGCAAATGCATATATCCTTGTGTGAATGGGAAATTCATCAAGAAATTTTGTGCCTGATGTTTAAAAAATGCTTGTTGGGTTGAAAACCCGAAAGGGCGGTCCAAGCAAAAATTAGAGCTAAAAAATTAAAAATAAAAAAAAATAAAAAGGAAAAGAAAAAGACCAGTTGGATTGAAACTCGTAAGAGCAGTTCAAGCAAAAGTTAGGGTGAATAAAAATGCTCGTTGGGCTGAAAACCCGAAAGGGTGGTCCAAGTAAAATTTAGGGCTATAAAAACAGCACGAAAGCTTTGTGGGCTGAAAACATGAAAGGGCGGCCTAAGCAAAAGAAATACAGTCAACTTGATCCCTCAAGAGGAGTACGTAGGCAGTCTAGTCCTTAAAAAAGCTGGATTCAGTCACAAGCCCCAAAATCCCCCTTCATTACCTCAATTCAACTAGGGTGAACTACGTTCGGCTTGATTCCTTCACAAGGTAAGTAGGCAAGCTAGCCCAAAAGCTAGGTGCAGCCGTAAATTATCACAAATTCATTTTTTTCCTACCAATGGTGTTAGCACGTGGTTAACTGCTACATATGGTGTAAGAACTCCAACTTCATATGAGTATAAACTGTGAAATAGGAAAGCAAAATCCTACCAAACATTTATTCTAAAAAAAATTGTTCTTGGTGGACAAGCCACCTTACAAGAGCAAGGAATACTGAAACAAAGCCCTACCTATGAGGTCATTACAAGAACGCTAAAAAAAGGAAGCAGGAAAAAAGGAAAAAGAGAAACAAGGTCATCTGTCAGAGCTCGCTACATGAAGAAAATAGGGCATTGATCAGTCTGTGAATCTCTTGCTTTTGTGCCTTCATTGACTGTCGGGTGCTCCCAATCTGGGGAAGTAGATCTTCTTTAGCATCAATTCTCAATTGTTGAAGATGTGTTGTTCATTCATTCTGATGCTCCAAAGAAACTTCAAAATTCATCTTTTGCATATTAATGGAAGTCTTCTTAGCTTCGTGCTCTTCCCGCATTTGGGGAACTCTCTCTTAAGCTTCCCTGATAGTAGCTTCCTTGACATCCAAGTCATCAAGCTCTTTAACAACTTCCGTGAGTTGTGTGTCGACAGCCTGTTTAGTGGTTAAACAATCCTCGTGTTGACGGATCAAATCATGAATCAGATCAACATTCACATCTCCTAAGGCTTCAATGTAGGCATTGCTTTTGGAATGTCGCCTGGCAAGCTCAAAAATCAAGTCCACAAACTTGGAAAATTGTTTAAATACAGCTTCACCACACCCAAGAATGTCAACCGTTGACCCCAAAAGTCAAAAGGCCTTGTTGATCTTGGAATGGTGCATATGAAGTTGAGCAGGTGTCTCTGAGCAGGAAAGTCGGTTGAAGATACCTTCAATTTCTCTGCTGATAAACTCCTGCCT